AAAACATCTGTGTGCAACCAATGTCGACTATTAACGGTTGGCGCCGCTTTGGAAGCAGAAACTGTTGGTTTGAAAGCCTTTAGTGTCTCCTTGTGGCGGGACTCTTATACTGCACTGCAAGATGTCGAGCAGTGTCAGCCGTATGCTAGAAAGTGATACATTAAAATTTCTGGGGTCACCATGAAGAGCTTACGTCCTTTCTTGGTCAGTGTGTAAAATGTGGCACAGCAGAATGAAGAATACTGATGGGCAGGGCTGGACTGGGACAAAAAATCAGCCCGGGCATTTTGACTAGAGACCGGCCCACCAGGTATTATAGGAAAAACCATAAAGCCTTTGAATGAAAACAAACGTCGTTGTGACAGTGATGTACAGTGTCTTGTTGGTACATATGTATCAATCTAATAAACTTAAACCTACACCATCCTCCCTATTCTGGTATTCTAAGCAGTACTTAGCCGAAACCCAAAGACTGCTTGGTTGAGTTAACTTCCTGAACTATCTACAACATATGGTGGAAACCTGAAATTAAGACAGAGAAGACTAGAGGTGAGACATGACCATTACTGAATATTAAAAATAATAAATGACAGATTTAGTGATATTTTCATAAACTATTTATTTACCACATCAATAAACAGCATGGCAGGGCAAAATATTTTTTCTAACATGGCAACCTTTTAAAAGTGAAAGGAGACAGAAAGACAGGTGAGAAAGAATAAAACTTAACTGACTTTTCGATGGCATTTTACACAAAGTACTGGTGTACAGAATCTAGAAAATGTGGGAAAATACTGGCATCATGTACAGTACTTTCTTCTGAAGAAATTATGTTGGGACCCTGAAAAAAACTTACTATGTACAATAATGGATTTCTATAAATTTGACATCGGATGAAAACTTTGGTTGTAAGATTCGGATAATTATTTGTTGAAAGCTAGAAATTTTAAATGAGAATAATCTGTTCAGCGCTGATGATTCAGTAAGGACATCTCCTGGTTTCATCTTCATGTTTCCCTCTCACCAGATAACCAAACCGATATCATGACCAGCAGCTTTTACAGCTGTGGCTCCAACAAACATCAGCTGATACTAGAAAGTGATATTAAATAAATTCTAACAACAGCTTATCAGGTTTAAAGGCGCTTCTGCTGTTTAACACGACCTCCGCTAGTTTCCTCTTTCTGGTGCAAAGCGGGAGATAAACAACCAAGAGAGACGGGACTTGTGGCAGAAACGCCGATCAGCTGATCATTGATCAGTTTCATGATTGAAGTAGCAGCAGGAGAGGGAGAACGAGAGAAGAAGAGGCAGCTGACAGAGTAAAGACACAGAATAACTCCAGCTTTGTGTCTTTTTTTTATTGTAGCTGAAGTACCCAAAGTGTCGGCTGTAGCCCCCTGGGTGGGGTCACGTAATAATAGAAATTCTGTTTGAAATTACTTACAAGTTTGCACAGATACATGTTTAAATAAATGTATTTTATTTATATAAAAAGTGAGTTAAAAATTAAAAAAATGGAGATGGTTAAGATTGTGATGTTTCTCTTTACTCTGACCTACATTTACTGCTCTTGTAGTAAAATATGTGTCTCAATGATTGGACTTAACACTTTGCACATGACTTGGTAGCATTAGCGCTTTATACCGACCAGCCTGTGTTGTTTGCTTTTTGAATACATTTTCAAGGAAAAGCATCAGTCTCTCTTGTATTGATTGCAGATTGGGTAGGTCCTTGCAGATTCTCTGGTTTTTAAGTGGACTTTTTATGTTTTAAAAATGGAGTTCATCATTTGGTTTTCTCTTACATATTTACACTGACCTGCTTACTATTGCTCAGGTTATCTGTTGGGAAAATCTGCTAATAGACTGGTTGTCTTTTAAAAGATCCTGGGAACTTCTGCAACTTCATGTAACGGTAAAAAGTGTGACAACCAACCCCAGTCTACCCCATACAAATGTGTTTTTTTTTAAAGATATGTAATTAATTAATTATTGGGATGTTTTTACTTTTTTTTTTTTTAATGCACAAGAGTCCATGAAATGCTTTTAGCTAATGCAGCATTACATGTCATTATTAAAAACCAAAATGCAGGTGAATAATATAACAATGGGTAGTCTGCTAGAGATTCAATAAAATAAGACAGGCGCACACATTTATAGCTTGGTATGTGAACGCAGAACAAAGAGGAAGTGGCACCTACCTGGCAAACTAGAAAGAATGAGTCTTGTTAAGGATAACCTTTTGCTCAGGGGGAAATTAGTATTTTATGACAGCACCCAATCCAAAATGCCTTCTGGGATGTTTATTCAAACTGTGGTGTATTTACCACAGAATATAAAAATCTCCTATATTCTTCAAAATCAAAAAGTCCAGGTTACAACTCACAAATAAAAAATTAAAAACTAAATAAGTCAACATGTATAAAGACAATAAAAAGTTCAAAATCGAATCTTACCCAACCCAGCACTGCTGGATGAGCGCATGAACAGCAGGCATGTAACTTGAATAGCTCTAATGTATTTCTACTTGATCTAAGTAGGTCTAGGTCATGCTATTTTCAGTTTTGGCTGTATTTTGTTGAAAAAAATTGTTCTTTTCACTCCATGCTAATTATTTGAGCTTTCCTTACTTGTTATTTTGCAGATAAACTGCATTGTCATACATACAGCGACGCAGGGATATATAATCATTTAAACTCATCAAAAGCAAACAGCAACAGCAAATTCAAAAGCCCATGAGCCACGCATCCGAGTCCCAGTTATATATAGTTTAGCATTTTAAAAGCTTTCTCTTTTGATAAACATGGTGGTGATTTTAGTTTGTGGCAGCAGCTAAAGCTTGGCTGAAGCAGACAGTGAGACTGGAAAAGAAAAAAAAAATCAAGACGTTGCAGTGATCCAGGGAAAGTAAACCTGAATGAAACGCTCTGGTGGGATCCTAAGTGAGCTGTGCATAAATAAATCCCTGTAAACCTCAACAGACTGACCCTTTTTTAAATCCATGCTTGACTGCAAGCGTTTATTTAACACGTTCCCGTCTGCTTAAATAAAGTTGGGTTTTTTTGTTTATTATTCGGCCTGTCATTGCTCACAGTTGAGGTAAAGACGGTTAATGAAATACCGACTGTTATTTGTCCGCGAGGAAGTAGCTAATCCCCTGCTGACCTCTCTGTGCTGCAGACCGTGCGGAAGCGCTGCTCGGTGTAGCACCTGTGAGCCTCAGGACCTCCGTATCTGGCATCCATTAATTTAGCTTTTTAGTTTTAGGATGGAGGAGCTGAGGTGCAGCTCCCCTGTGCTTAAGTTGGACCTGAACAACTTCGACTCTCCCGGAGCAGAGAGCAACCGACACGTCTTAACGAACTCTCGTTCGCTTGAGTCTTGCGCTCGGCTGGGTGTAAAACCGGTTCAGCTTTTAATTAAATCTCTAAACGACTTCATTGCTGAGCAACAGGACACGCCGTTTGAGACAATGAGAGTCATGCATGAATCTTATGAAAAGGAGAGGCTGAAGACTTTACAAAAGTGCGGCCAGGAACGGCGGAGGATTATCCAGGCGGCCGGGGACAGGCGGCCATGCAGCAGTAAAGCCTCGGGCTTGGAGGTGTTGCCTGACACCAGACTGGAAGAGCGCTCAACAGAAATGCCCTATGCAGATCTCTGCTCTGAAGAGAAGGCTGTTAGCAGGTCCTCCTGCTCTGCTCCTAGTAAAAGGGATCCAGAGAGGAGCACATTGTGCAGCTTCAACCTGGGAGACCTCATACACTCCCCAGCTACCGAGAAGAAGCTGAAGAGGCTCACCAAGAGCATCCAAAAGCAGATGTGTGTCACAGTATCGGAGAGAGACCAGAAGATAGCTGCTCTGATGCTGGTGAAGCATGAGGAGGAACAGGCTCGTTTGAAGCTCAGCCAGCAGGAGGAATGGGAGCGACAGGAGGCCCGCAGGCAGGAGGAGGCCCAGCAAGTTCAGGCAGAAAAAAAGAGGAGGAAGAAGCTGAAACGGAGTATGAAACGCTGGAACGAGGAGCTGGAGGCCCGCAGGAGGCTGAGGGAGCATCGAGAAAAAGAGAAAGCAGAACAGCTTAAGCAGGAGGTGCTGCTGCAAGAAGACCGATGGAGAAGGCTAAAAGAGGAGGTGGAAGTGTACCGCAGGGCAAAGATGGAGGGTACACACGAGGAGGCGGAAGAGCGCAAACGCTACCAGGAGAAGCTGCTGACCGAGAAGGAGGAGGCGGGGAAGAGGGAGCGAGAGAGGGAGAGACAGGTGGCAGCGGAGAAGGAGGAGAAGGTCCTGAGGAGCAAGATGCTGAAGGAGAAGGAGGAGCGGAAGAGGCTGCAGGAGGAAAACCATAAAGAGCTGCTGAGACACATCTTGCTGAAACACCAGGTTGAGCTGCAGGGGGAGGAAGAGGAGGCGCAGAGGAGGAGCACACTGGAGAAGAAGTTGCAGCGCTCCTGCCAAAGGCGTGCCAAGTCTGTAGAGGCACGACTCGAAGAGCTTCGGGAGCGGGCTGCCCGGGAGGAGGAGATGAGTCAAAGAGTGCAGCTGAGGGCCGAGCTGCAGAGCGTCCAGCAGCTCACACACAAGCAGATCCTGGTCCAGCTGAGCCAGAGACGCATGGAGAGAGCCGCCCTGCACGCCTCAGCGCAGCACAGACGCAGAGCTCAGAAAACCCGGCAGAACAACAAACACAGGCAGCTCTGCCACCAGAGGCTCAGAGAGGAACTACAGAGAGAGGAGGAGGCGGCGAGGAGAGTCAGAGAGAGCCGCATTTCCACAAAGGAGCAGAAGAGGGAGCAGCTGAGAAGGCAGCGAGAGCAGATACAGGAGGAGGCACAGAGGCTGGCTCGGGCCTCCTTTCACATGAGGGAGAGAGTGAGGCAGCAGACGCACAGCCGGACCTTTGATCAGATGGCGCTTGAGGCTCAGCTGACTGCGTCTTTAAACCGCATGAATCTGTGAACTCTATTCAGACTCTGTTTTGCACCTGTACACTCACCCAGAGCTGCTTAGAAAAGGATCTGCAGTCAAATAATAGCTCCAGAGACTTGCAGAAATACTGAGACACATCACTGTTCTCTGCACTTTGAATGTAAATGAATTTAAATTCATTATAAATGGTCCCCGAGATGCAAGGGCCCTTGAACATCATATCAGAGCTGTTCTTAAAAATAATTTTTGGCCATTGTAATGACAGACACATGAACATTTGGTGATTTTAATAATCCAAAAAGTCAACTTTTTATTTGATAGAGTGCAGTAGCTGGGATACAGTTTCAAAGACTTCCAAACGGTTTCATTTCATTTTATTTAGTTGAGGTTAACTGCTTAGATCAGCAAGACCTCTGAGTGACCTCCTGTCAGGGTAAACTTTACAGGCACCATTGTTTCCTCAACCATTTGTGTTCAGTACTTCACAGCAGTGTATTCATTTATATTTGACCCCTGGCTAGTTCTTAAGCCTGAGATGAGATTGATTGTGTAGCAACACATTATATGCAACCCACATTCAACTAGTGACAACAAATATAACCATCCGGCACTTAAAGATTGATGGCTAGAGCGTTTAGCTGTTAGTAGACTGCAAATAAGAGGGGAGGGGATAGTCTGCAGAGGTTGGAAAGGAATCAAAGTGCAGTCCTACTGCAATGCTCTGAATGAGCTATGAGGACACGAGGCAAGAGTTAATGTTTGCTAGACCACGGTGTTGCCTGTTTTCCTGTTAGTCTGACTACTGTGTGTTATAAAATCTTTATACCACTTGAAGATTTTTATTACGTGCAAGATTCAAACAGAACAACGCTGTATCACTTTAATGCTAGGCCATAACAGATGTTTGATTTCACCATTAGCAGCGTGATCATGTGTGCCACATTTTTAATAATTACATGAACTGTAAACGGGAGCACTTCCTGTATTCAAATTGGGGTCACATGTAGGACAAATCATCAAAGAACTCCAAGGAACTCTCTTTTTAGACAATAGTAAAGAAATCTTTATTCTCATGGCATGGTGTTCAACTTAAAAAAAAAACAAAAAACTCCAGCAAATGAGCCCTGATCAGGGAGTTCATAAAAACACTGGATTTTATTCTAGTGGTGTTCCACCAATGGCAAGCTTCCACCGAGGGTCAGAGTGGAAGTTTCCACCAGTAGGAGGAAACAGGAGTCATCAATATTTATCAGACAAACAAAAATTTAATAAGCAACACTAGACAGCATCAACCACAGACAGTGATTTAAGGCATTCTTGAAGACAAAGTTTTTTTTAAAGTAGTTAAAATCCAAGTCCTCGGTTGAATCAGGGTATTTGGTGGCCTGTCATTTATAAACCCAAAAACCTTCCTTTTGGCTAATACTCCTTTGTCATGTCTTCTGTGGTCACTTCCAAAGGTTTGTAGAGCAGATGGGTTACATTGATGCAAACCTAATTGGTCTCTAACCTGTGCATGTGTTTTCATATGGGTTCATACATGAACTGTGTTTAGAGCTTAATGAATAAAGGACAAATTTAAGTGTAAAATATCTTAACTTTGGTTTACAATACAAAAACTATGAAATTAAAATTCAATCTCAAGATATTTAGTGTAGCTGTTAAAAGGGGAATTCTGCTCCACACGTTAAACATAAGTAAACAAGCTTTAGGTCAGTCGATGCAGCAATGTACAGCGTTGTGTGACGAAAACAAAAAAGAATCAAGTATAAAGTAAATAAATAAGCCATTATAAAACCAGAAGACATTTCACGTGTTTCAATATTTCACATGTTGCACACACTAAAGGAGCTGAAAGAAGGAAAGTAAAGGTAAAAATTGCTCTAACTGGCAGTGAGTCAATAAAACATCTGTAACCTCCAGAATCTGCTTGATACGTACCTCACCTGCTGCCAGGAACCCGTCTCCGTCTAACGTATCACCTAACATGAGAGTTGCTGGACCAGTTTACCGGTTGGTCTTCTCATTTGGCTGCAGTTATTATCACTTCACATTGAGAGGTTCAAACCTTTGCCCCTTTTCTGTGTTTGGATGTTCTCCGCGTGTCCCTGGTTTTGTCCCAGCCTTATTCCACACTGCACAAGCATGAATGCTCAGTCAGAGAGATGATTCTAAATTAGCGTTAGCTGCAGCTGTGAGTGCGAACAGTTGGCCCGCGCCTCTGTGATAGCAGACAGACGGTAACCTGTCCAGGCTGCCTTTCACTCAACACGATCCCCACCATAAACCAACTCAGACAAACAACATTATAAAAAAAACTTTGTAGTTTGTATTATTGCACATTTATAATCTGAAAATCCGGCCATATTTTCAAACTCTTAGCCGTAAAATATAATAATATAAAGTGTACGCCCTAGAGACCTTATTTTCTAGGTGAGAGAGTATCGAATTATTTGGTTGTTCCTGTAAATCTATTCACCTTTCAGGATATTTAATACCTCAACATACCTTCAGCGGACCGTGGCAACAAATGAGAACTGTTTCTGCTTCCTCTGAATGGAAACTCAATTCAGCTATGAAACTATATTAGTTACCCGATTCTTTATCACCTCCCGGAAAGCTTTTTGACACCCAAACAATAGCCTGACACAAATCCAAGTTACACTGAAATAAGAGGACCAAGGTAGACTCTGTCAAAGCCTATTTTGTCCTCTGATCATTGTGGCATACAGTACAGGTCCTCAGAGTTTTCCTTTCACCCCCTTTTAAAATAAATTGCCCTCATGTTTTCTTTTAGTCATCGTGCAGTCCGAGGGCCAGCAACATCGGAAGCCCCACACCGATGATGAGGGTGAGGCTCTCCAGGAGCCCCAAGTGTCTCTGCTGGTGGGCTTCGGCTCCAGACTGCTGCTCGGAGTCCAAGGGCAGCTCATCAGTCCTGCTGCTGCTGATCTCAGGGAGAACATGCACCGTGGCCACATAGAGAAACGTCCCCGCTGAGAAGAGCATTCCCACTCCCGTTGCACTGAGCTGATTCTCAGATGAGCTTCCAGACTGCAGACACAGCACACATCAAGTTAAATAACTCAGACCCAGCAACCGTCTAGTCACTGGGATTTAATGCATCTCCTTTCAAGCAGACACGACAGTCAGATTGTGCTTTCTTACTGCATATAATATGAAGTAAGTGGCAATAGCAACTATAGGCGCTGCAGCTGAAAAGGCCAGTAAGTGTCCCTGAATGAACTTCTTCTCGAGGCCTCCGTGCATCAGAAAGGAGACCAAGCCAAAAGCGGCGGGCGCCTAAACAGGAGACGGGAAAGACGGTCAATGGCATCGTGCTCGTCACCCAGACATCTGTTCATTTCAATGAGCCGTTCTCTCACCTTGTGCAGAATCACAGCAAAAAACACTACAACTTGTACTGTCACTTGACCTGTAGCCACAGCAGCACCCAGAGCAAATCCATCAGCTAAAAGCAAACAAAGAGATTATTACTCTATGGTACAGCTACTTCTTTTATGTGGATTTGTATAGGTCTCCGGTCTTTAAGATCTGCATCATGGATGATTGTTGTTTGATTTGTGACTGCTGTCAAGCTTGGTTGTCCCCGTTTAAATAACTGTAAAGTTAGATCCTGCAGGCTGTGCTGCAGAATCACATGCTGAGTCACACGGGGGCATAAGGAACGTTTCCTTATAAACTTTCCACCTCTGTGACCTCGAAGCCAGTGAAACAGTGCGTCTCAAGCAAAAGCAAGAGAATAAATATGCAGAGGAGAGGTTTGGCTGTGTCACGTACCTGCAGCGTGAATAACCAGGCCCAACGTGGCTGTGAAGTGGACGCTGTTGGACAAACAAGTCGTCTGGTCTGAAATTAGACATCGCACACGCTGAGGTGGTTAACAAATCTGTGGAGGCAACACTCTGCAATGTAAAGCTGGCGTGAGAGTTCTGATAACTTGCCGCGTGTGGAAAGGTAGCTTCCTATCTGATCGACGACAAACATGAAGGTGAACCCGAGCGTCAAAGCCACCCCAATGAGGAACCGAGGTGGGCCTCTCTCTGCCACGGTCCCATTTTCTTTACTGGAATTTAGACCGGATGACACATCAGAGGATGACGCTGGAGACGGAAGATGAAGAACAGAAAGAGCTTTTGATGAGCTTGTTTTTGTTGTTTTTACAGAGAGCAGCTTTTTCATCTGCCACCTGCCTCATCAATCATCTGGAGGCTACAATCAAACACATGCAAATTTGGTGGGTTAGCACACCCACATAAACACAAAGCTTGCACAGCAACCATTCTGCTTCGTTGTCATGTGCATGTTTGAGCTTTCCTGCTCACTTTTCCACGAGTCTTCCAGCAAACCCACTCCCTCTGGGATGGTGATGGCCAGCGCTGTCCCACACAGCAGACCTGCCCCCAGGATGGAAACGAACTGCAGGCTTTTCTAGGGTTAAGACACGTGATTTCAGCAGATGACTGAGATTCCCCTCACAAGTTCTAGTTGTTCAGCAAGTTTCCAAAACAACAGCCTTGCACATTATGAAGGCACGACAAATAAGACAAGATGAAGTAGATCCAGACAGTCCGCTATAAACAAAGACTGTGGGAAATCACTTACCTCAGACAGTCTGAACAACAGTGGGATGAATCCGAAGAGAAAGGAGCCTACAAACATCGCCACAGATATAAATGTAATAATCAGCCCTCCGTCCATGGCGACGACTTCTTCCTAACACAAGTATTTACCCGGTTCGCCCCTTTGCTTTCATTTCAGCGTTAGCTCCTACTGAGATCCGGGACGGTGTGCGTTCTCATTGGGTCGCTGGAGTTTAATCTCTACCATCAGACAACACCAGAATGCTGTTCTGCCTTTCCACGTCGCACCACCGTGGCCGCCCCCCTCGTTTGCTACACAGCTGCTTCCCAAGCAGCAGCACCAAGTGTCCGACAGCGAGAACTGCAACCTAAGTGGAAGCAAAACTCCATTCCTCTGTGCCCCAGTTAAACATAACCCAGGCCGGTTTTGACAGGGTGGGTTAAAAGGTATTTTCTGGAGAGGTTTTACGCGCCCATCCTACACTGTAGGACAACAAAGGCGTTAATTGCATCTTTTAGGGCTTCGATTGCGCAATTGTTCACCACCCGTTTTCAGTTTGGAGTAAAATCTCAATCTCAACAAAGTACTCCCAGACCACACTAAGTGGACACTATAAAGAGCACAGTGAGTGTGTTAAAGACGAATTCCTTCACAACGCGAGGCTCCTGATGGAAGAAGAGGGAGTGTAGGTCACTGGCAGGACAGGTTACATAAGAAGTCGATACACTCCTTTTTGCATACCACTAATATAGTTTAGTACGTAAGTAAAGTTTGTAAGTTTTATGTCAATTGCTATTAAAATAAAGCACTGTGCAACAATTAAAACACGCTATCAAAAGAGAGAGTAAAACACAAGAAAAATGTATAGAGGGCCACAAGTGCCAAAATAAATTACATACAAATTAAAGAATTAAATTTCATTTATTCATTGAAATTGGAAATAATTCTTATAAATGAAATGAACAGATGTTTAATTATTTAAATATTTATTCATTTTCAATTTAAATTAATTCACTACACATTTAATTAATATGTTATTTTCTGTATTGGCCTGCCATACAGTTCAAAAGTGAGAAACAGATTGAGACAGAAAGGTGCTTTAGTTTGAGTGTTTCAGAAATGGTTGAATAACCATCTCTGGGGTTTACAGAAAATGGTCAGAAAACGAGAAGTGAGCAGCAGTTCTCTAAATGAAAATGTTTTGTTGATGTCTGAGCTCAAAAGGAGAATGACCAGGCTGCTTCGAGCTGACAGGAAAGCAGTAGCAGCTAAAATAACCACACGTTACAGCAAGCACAAGACCAAAGTGGGCATCACTTCTGTCGGCTAAGAACAGGAAACTGAGGCTACAGTTTGCACAGGCTCACCAAAATTGGACAATAAAAGAAGGAAAAAAAAAAAAGTTGCCTGCTGGCGAGTCTTGATTTCTGCTGAAACATTTGGATGGTAGAGTTAGAATTTGGCATAAACAACGTGAATGCATGGACCCATCCCGTCTCATATCAAAGGCTCAGAGGTGGTGGTGGTGTATTTTTTTGGGCACACTCTGGTACCAACTAATCCATTTAAACAGCGCTATCACGTCAACACGGACCAAAACCTTTGAGTAATGTTTCCAGCACCTTGCCGAATCTGTGCTACGAAGAATTAAAGCAATTCTGAAGGCAAAAGGGGGTCCAACCCAGTACCAGTGAGGTATAACTAATGAAGCTGCTGCTAATTGACCAAATAAACCTGCAACAGCAAAACCCCGATTGTATAGAACTGAACACAAATTCAGCTTTCATGTGCAACTGAATAAAATAAAATTATAATATCAGAAAGATATTACTTTAAATTCCTCTACCACTGGACGATTGAACAGAAACTCTTATCATCAACTAAGCTGATTAAACACATTTATTGTTGAATGAACTCAGGGGAAGTACAGAATATGTCTGTACAGACAGACCAATGGAAAGAATGATAAACGAGTAAGTCGAATGTTGAGATATGCCATTGTTACTCTCAATATCTAGAATGATCTAAACCTAAAAAAGGCAAAGCACAAACAGAACAAACAAAACATTGTGACTGTGCACTTTTTGAGATGCAGAGACAAACAAGCCCACAACCTCCGTTAGAGATCTGCTGTTTAAAAAAAAATTACAACCCCATTATTTGCATTAAGTTTATACAGATCTTACAAAGATAGTACAAAAGAAAAATCCATCATTACAGAAATCACTGAAACCATGAGACTAACAAACGTAGATCTATAAGCAAATTAAATACAAGAGCACTGGGCTGGACAGCAGTAAGGTTGAATACAGTATAAAACATCTGGCTTAGTGAGAGAACCGTCCCATTAAAGTTGCTTAAATACAGAACCACTCGTATCCTACCTTTATCTCACCAAATACGATATATTTAACTACATCCAGTGCTTAGTGGAGACATGGAAATGTTAGTTGAACTGAGATTAGAGTTACTGGAAAAGATGTGTTACCTGTGCTGACACATTCAGACAGTTCAAGCCAGCTCAGAGGTATATTTAAAAAACAAACAAACAAAAACCAAACGAAATCACCTAATCGTGATGCAAAGAGCACAGGAATCAGCGGTGTCATACAATTGTCTTGTTAGTACCATGATGATGAACCTATACGTGGTACAAATACACCAAGATGTGCCCTTCTCCATCAGTCATACAAGTGGAAGATCAGTTAGCGGCACATTTCTTTTGTCTATGGTTCCAAAAGCTGGTACAAAACGTGTTTTAATATGATCCCATATCATTAAGTCAACAGACAGCAGTTGTGCTTTGCCTTTTATCATAAATGTTCTTCATTTTTTTAGTATTTCATAGGGTAGCTCGTAGTGTTGCAATGTTGTTAAAGTATTCTGATTAGAGTTGCTGCGTTTCTTGATCAAATGTGGTCTTTTAGAGCATGTCTATATGCTCACAGACACTTCTGGGTCAAACTCGATTCCTTCACAATCCCCTCTTTCCTATTAAAGACAAGTACGACACAAAAAAAAATAAATCTGTAACTGTTATAGTTAAATCTTGCCCATTATTTAGTGTTATCGAAGAAAAAGAAAAAAAAAAAAAAAAAAAAAGAACAGTCTACACCCCTAATCTCTCCTCATTGACTACAGAAACTTAAAATAAGCTATCGGCATGATAAAGTGTCTACATAAACATTGACATTAAAGAGGGCCTGACAGGACAAAAGAAGAAAAATGGCAGCCACCTGAACTAAATCTTAATTTCAAGCAACTTACAGGAAAACGTAAACAAAAAGGAAACGAGAACAACGCGTACAGAAGCACAGTCAGCATCATCTAAAACTGACCCGGGGAAGGGGGAACCAAAAAGGCCTTTCTCTCCTTCCTCATAGCTAGACCTTCCACAGGCTCTCAGCTCTGGTCCTTCTGCAGCAACCGTGCAAAGGTTTCCCCCCTTTTTATTTGGAGGCAGCATTAGTAGCAGCATTCCAACTGCAGTCCCAACAAAAGGTTCAGACCCAGAAACTAAGATCATTATCAGTGTAGTGTGCTGAGACATGAATTATCTTCTTCCACAGCTTAAAGGGTGTGTAAAGCATGACAGCGTTAAAAACTCCATGCCTACCAATAAATACATGTCGAAAAAAAGGCTATTTTACAAATCCAGAGATTTTTTTTTTAATAGCTGTACAGTGTCAAAGCTTCCTGGAGTGTTAAGTAGCATTTTTTTCCCCAGTTTTTCAAGGCTTCTATGGAACTGGAAGAATCATGTGAGACCATCTCATCTGGACTGATAGCACTATCTGGCATAAAGGCTGCTCCCATCATCTCATGCGCTCATCTCTCCTAATCTTCTTATTTTCTGAAAACATCTAGTGCAGTTAGCAATTATGGGAGAAATCTCTCCACGTTTTTGAAGCTGCATGCCATACTGCAGTACCTTAGTGAAAGTGGAGCGTACTGGTCCTGTCATTCGGGTGCAATACCAAGGTAACTCCCCTTACAAGACAAGGCAATGATTTCCTTATGCATTAATGTCTTCTTTCCATTGGTCCAGAGAAAGCGACTGGGGTGTGCCTCAGTTGCGTCAGGAGCACGAAGATGTTGCTACCCTTTCGATGCCAGAGTAGATTCCTTCTCCAGTAGGTACACATAGGATACGGCCTGGCGAGGCCCAGTAAAGGAAATGTGAGAGTCTTTGTGCGACAGTCCGTTTAATTCTTAGTAGACAGGGCAGGGTGCTTATGTTAGTGGAAGGTCCCCCAAGGAGGATGAGATGTTTCGGAGAACCGTTGGTTCAGTTCCTCATTTAATTCACTCATTCAGTGGGCTCCTAAAGTGACTTGGCTTTCTATTCCCAGGTGCAATCATTGCCGCACTTCATTATCAATTAGGCTGTCCTCACCAGACTGAAAGGCTTCATTTAAGCCATTGTCAACACTGATTATTTCCTCGTCTTGTGAGGACCCCTGGCCGTCGTCCTCACCGCTGCCAGAACCAGTCTCATCTGAATTTGGCTCTTGTAGTACCTCAGCAATGTACATTTGCTGTAGGGGACAGTCAGAAATAAAAGAGTATTACAGTTTGGTACTCATCTTTATGTTTCTCTACAAGGTTTTTTGTTTTTTTAAGGCTTGGTTCTACAGGTTCTACCATATGTGTGTGTTTTTCCTAATTTATCCTTAACTGAAATGTATTGTTAAACAAGAAGCATGCTGATTATACTCCCTTTGTCTCTTCCGTTTAACCTTGTCAGGGTTGTGGGCGGGGCTGGAGCCCATCCCAGCTACTATAGGGTGAGAGGCAGGGTACACCCTGGACAGGATGTCAGTCTGTCGCAGGGCTAACACAGACAACTATTGGCAATTTAGTGTTTCCAATGAACCCATCTCCACTAACTGCATGTCTTTGGACTGTGGGAAGAAGCCAGAGTACCCAGAGAGAACCCACGCAAACAAAAAAAGACCCTTGCCTGATGGTGGAATTGACTTCTTGCTGTGAGGCAACAGTGCTAACCACCATGCTAACACGCTGGCCTACTGATTAACTGTACCCCACTAACTGCATGTCTTTGGACATGCAGGGGACAACGGGAGTATATCTCTTTGGCAATCGTGGTCTTGGATAGGTAGGTTTCTTAACAGATTCTGTTTGATGCATGCATCTTGTCTTCATATATGGATGTGTTTTGCCATCATTAAAAATACTAGCACCTGCCACTGCCACCCTTCAGCCTCCTAACAGATATAGCTACAGTATCAATTTCAAAATCAAGCAAGTTAGATAATTTTGGTTGTACAGCCTGCTGTAGTGAAGTTCTTCACAATCTCACCCCATCCATAATTCATCTGTAAACTAACATTGCTCCACATGCACTGAAAAAGCACAATTGTGCATTAAAACTATATGTTACCCATCTTTGTCCTTTGTTTTTGACTTCAGCTACTAAAGGCTTTGGCAGAGCATCCTGCTTTTTAACAGGATGCTCTGAGGTTCATGTTGACATTGATAAACCACTGAATACATACCGCTGCCTTGTTGGCAGCAGAAGGACACGCTGAGTCTCCATTTTCCGATCCGTCCACAGCCTCTGTTTCAATCTGACAGAGAAAACACACATTGAAAGTAGTTGAGCATGAGACTAGAGTAAAACACTAGAATGGCTAATCAGCATGATTCTAAACAGCAATACGCTATAAAAAGTGACCATCTACCAACCTTGTAGTTGTGAGCGCTGAAATATTTAAAATACCCAAAGATGACGTGACAGAGGCAAATGATGATTGTGATGATCAAAACCACAAATGTAAACATGGATGTTGCGGCTGAAAACCCTGGAGGAAAGAACCGGGAGAGACATTTATTGCACTGGGATCTGTCTTTCATAAATAACACCAGGCATGTGTTAAGGACCAGAGTGGCCTCTAGGTGGAGTCGTCTTCCTACCCGAGCGAACAGTGGAGAAGAAGAGAAGCCAAAACAGGCAGAGGATAGGAGCAGCCACCACTTGGTTTACAGCTCCAGAATGGATCTTCTTGTCCAATTTAGATGGCAGATACGCATAATACATGTTGTATCTGTCTGCTAGGTGTTTTAGCAGCATGTACATCAGCCCTGCACAGGGAACAGAGGCAAGCCAATCAGTAAAGCTAATCCAATTAGGCCTGCCGATAAGCCACTGTATAAAGAACTGAATCACTGCATGCTGTCTGTCCTCTACATGTTTATCCTGCTGTAATTTAATCAGCAAACCATGTTAAAGTGAAACAGGAGCAAGCTAGCGGGGCTATTAAACAGCAGAACTCACCGAAAGGGACTATGATTGGGCAGGTTATGCTGTAGGTCATAACCACAGTGAAGACACACATCATCCAGGCATAAGCTGCCCCAAACTGGAACTCATAAGCCTGGTGCTATAAAGAGACAACAAGCCAACTTAAAACAAACATTTTAACTACCAAATGTGGCTTTTTTTTTTTCTTTGAGTAATAATCGACAGTTGGTATAAAAAGGTTGGATTACATAGTTTTCACCATTGTATTTCAGCACACAGTACAAACATAAAAGTGGCAGTGAAACAACCGCAATCACACCAGGCGATTTAAAATATTACTCAAACATTTGATCCAATATGAAAATTGTCAGAGAAAATTTTTCTAACTAGTCAAGTATCTCATGTCAGCAATACTCCAAAAGCCCAAGACATTTATGTAAATATCTTTTCACATTAAGAGCACTGCACATAGTGCATCTACCCTTCTGTGCCCTTATTCCCATCATATGGTCTCACTAACCCTTTTGACATTCTTTCTGTCAGCTGCAGAGCGAGCCAGACAGAGGCGGATCATGTACATCAGTAAACCAGGAATCCTCAGCAAGTCCATGGCATTACCGATGAATGCAGATGCTATGACATAGTTTACAAAGAAGGCTCCATTGTCAGGAAGGAAAACACACCTAAAAAGCAAAGAAAAAAGAAGCAATCATCAAAAATACTAAAATGAGCTTTGAAAATTATTGCAGGATTCAGTTTCATTACAGATTAATTCAAGATGTTTTTGGTATTGCTAAAGGACTGATATAAATATTAAATACATTCAAATCACATACTGCTCTATATATAAAATAGCATAGCACTGTGCCGTACACTACTCACTCAAATCTTATTTTAGCTTCCTGCAAGAAACTTTTGTCAAAAAGCCACCGGAAGAAAACATCCAAACTGCAAAGAAACAGGAAATGAAATTAATTATCTGAAATATTTCAGATGCTTGTACTGCTGGGCAGCGCAAAATAAAAACATACTTTACCTGGTGAGTCCAAGAGAGGGCAACAACAGGACCATAAAGATCAAGAAAGTGTAGCATTTATGCATCGTAGTCCTGTTTTCTCCTGACCTATACAACCAAATAAAAAGGTGAACACATTAATTTATGCAATACACCAAATCACTTTAAACTTAAAATAAAGACTACATAACTCAAATACTGTTGACCGCAGAGAATTTAAACCGTACCGGGTCCAGTGCCTTTCGAAGAAGGCAGAGTAGTAGACGACAGTAGGAAGTAAGGCAGAGAAAGACCACAGGAGGAGGGTGGGGAAGAACTGGGTGATGATTGGATTCTGAGGAACAGATCAGACAGACGAGGATATGTTTATGTAACTAAACAGGTGGATTCATGTGCTTCTGTATTAGGATGCAGACTTGTTATGCCTTGAACTCAAATGCTAAGAGAAAAACATGAATATGCTTATAACTTAAAATTTAATCAAGCATTCAAATTTTGGGACGCTCACATTTAAGTACTCCACTGGTTTGGTAACATTGAACTTGTCCATGGTGGAGATGATAATGGCAGGAGTGGTGAGAAAGAAGAGGAGGATGAAGAGGATACTGTTGATTAACAAGCAGCGGAGCCACCACTTCAATCCTCCCAGTGACAGATGATCCCTGTGGGATAAAGGTTATACAGCGGTTAGACTGACACAGTCTGATGACCTGCAGTTACGGACACAGCTGGCTGGTAAACTGATACTGCAGCTTAAAAAACAATAGCTCATCTGGAGTGAGGTAGTATTTTTTTTGAAAAATGGACTCATTACATCCCAAGCAGCCCTACTGTGGTTTTGCTGTGTGGGGGTGTTGTGTAGATCTCACCCCACTAAGCAAGCCACAGTTGCTTAGTAGCAGATGTGCCTTGGCTGATTTTCTTAGAGTAGAACGGCTGATAAAATAAAACCTCAGTTTTAGTTCCCTTCCACCCACCCTGTCTTTGTGACTTCTATTTCACCCAGAAACCTTATTATTACTTCCCCACATCCCGTCGCCTTATATGGGTAAGTAATGGTACTGAATCAAATTAATCAGTTAAGAGCGTTATGAATAAACAGTTACGAACAGCAGCAGCACTTGTTACTTAAATGTGTTCTTACCAGTAAACATTTTGTGGATCAGGGGCATAGGCGATGGTCCATTTTTGTGTATGCAGTTTGCCGCTGAATATAGAGCTTCTGGGCTCACGACGGCACTGACAGCCATGACACTTGCAGGCATTGAAGTCCTTTAAAATTCTGGGAACAGAGATCGTTGGGTAATGAGCCAAAGAGCTTGTCAGTTCAAAAACAATGCAGCAGACACATATACATTTATTTTCCCATGAGGGTAAGCGTACGTACATTGCAGCTGTGCCTTCATCCTCGAAGGTGACAAAAGCCATTCCTAAAGGTTTCGAGTTGATCTTCTCCCTCTCCTTCCTGCATTGTTCTTTTAAGCTTGCCTCCAAACGGGTATAGAAGCTCACTGCCTCTTCCTATGAAAGACAAAAAAAAAAAAGTGATATTTTTTAATGGTTTACTGGGATACACTGGGATTACTGTGTGAATGGGTGGATGACTGAATGTGTCAAGCGCTTTGGGGTCCTTAGGGACTAGTAAAGCGCTATACAAATACAGGCCATTTACCATTTACCAATGTGAAACTGTTGCATTTAACAGTTAACATTTAAAAGCCATTTAGTGTGTTAAGGGGTTACACAGTCCCATAGCTTCATGAAGGAGCAGTGGAAAAACCATGAATTTTTAACCTGATCAAAAAAGATTCAGTTCATACCCATACCTATTCAACTGATCTCACTACAGAGTCCACACTTCATACATTATGTTTCGACATAAGCTACACCAGTATTAGAATGCACTGTTTTAAGGTAAAGTTATACTCACCTGTTCACACCCTTTAACGATACAACAGCACAGGTGTCCACAGGGCTTTGGGTTGACCATGGTAATCTTCCCCTGTGTCTTCAGGTCAATAAAGAATTTCTTACTGCGTTCTGTCTTTTTCCTGAAATTAAGGCATCAGCAATTAGGATTACTGAAGATCTTCAAACACGCAAACACATATTTGGTTAAAACATTGTTACCTTTCAGTGCTAAGATACATCAAATTGGCTACATCGTAACAGAGACGAGTTTCCAGTACACGACAATTATATGCCTTCCTGTGAACCAAGGGCAGAGAAGGAGACAAAATGAGTCCATTTTAAAGTACAACGATTCATAACACATTCCTTATATCAGCACAGGGACTTTTCAAATATTACAATAGCATCTGCAAGTCAAAATACCGGGGACACATATACAATTGCAGTTAATACTGTTTGGTCAGGTAGGATCTGAGCCAAACCACCCCAATCTCAATCTTAAACCACTGTGGCACGTGTCTTACTTAATTCTGCTCATCTGCCTTCTATTACGGAGAATTACACATACAGTCCTGCCATTGTCTGATCCTAACCTTAAAAGCCATGACGATGCAACTCTTAACAGAAAAAGGAATGGTTCTCATCTAACTTAATAGAGTTACTGCAAAGCAGCCATGACACCAAAGTACTGTACCATTTATATACACAGATAAAGTCTCATTATAGTTAAAATTAACTGTGGAGCTGGGGGCAAAATCCTTACTCAAAGTGCTGGTTTATCTCCTTTTCTTCTGCATATTTGGAGATCCCATTTATGAATAAAGTGCGTTTAACCTACATGGAGATGAAAAAAAAAAAGCGACAATCACTAACACCACACAGACTGACGTGTATCCAAACATGGTTTTCTGAAACCGTGCCACCCACCAGGTCATCCTCCTTGTATTGCATTTTGGATGTGTGCCGTCTCATGCTGTACACCGTGAGTAACAAGTAAAGAAATGCAAAGATGGTGTGCAGCCACAGTAGTGCGTTACTTGAAAAACAGAATGTAAAAAGGATTTGATTAGTGGCACAAAGGGAAGACCCAATTAACTTCTTTAATAGCATTTTATGCTGTATAAAAGGGACGCTCCGTTACTCACTCTGCTCCGAGATTTCCTATAGTGGTTCGCCCAAAACTATAGGCATTGTTTTCTGTGGAAAGAAAAAGCGAAGCAAGAGAATCACTTGATGGAAAAGCAACCTCTGCACAGAACACAGCAAGGAAATGTGGAAAGTGGTTTTAATTGGGAGAAAAGTAAAAGGATCATTTTTTTTGTAGGAAACTACTGACCTTCCAAAAATCTAAAAAGTGCTTATACCCTAGTAACCAATTACCTGTTAGTTTAGCAAATGACTATCCTCGCACAAGTGAAAGAACATAACTGGTAACACACAACATTGGTCTGCAGTAACATATAACACCAACAACTGCATTGGTTCTGTGCATTATAGGTTTTCTAAAACAGTCACAGAACTGCGCAGATCTATGCAGCAGAGAAGGTTGTCAAAAGGTCAACCCCGCCCCCCAACAAAAAAAAAAAACCCCAACAAGAACCCCAAATCAGAATAAAGATAAAATACCAAAAACCAAAGGAAAAGAAATAAAATAAACAAAAGCAGCAAACTGGTCAAACATTTAGAGAAAAACTATCGTAAATATTTAAAATAAAATGTAGCCTCTTAAATGTTACTCTTATTCACCTAGCAGATTTCCAGAAAAGTTCACTGGCAAGATGATGCCAACAGAGAGCACGCCCACCACTACTAACAAGCCAATGATGTGGCGCTGAAAGGACAAGTAATACACTGCATCGTCACCGCACTTTTCCCTTATCTCGTCTTCCCTTTAGAAAGAAAACAGGGGACACCTTGATCATTATTCAGAACAAAGAAAATTGCAACCTTTTATATAAAATAGACTTTAAAACAGGCTGACTCACTTGATCCGGAATATAGAAGTTAACCAATCGCAGAACCCCTAAAGAAGAACAGCACATATTTCACAATGTTGTACCAGTTTTCCTGTTTTATTATTGTTACTATTATTATCATCAAGATTATGCAGCAGCAATAGCACACTTACTGTGTCTCTATGATCAAAATCCACCGAGCTAGAGACTGATGTGAGGCGCTCATAGCGTTCATGCATGTCAGATGTAGTAGGAGAAACCATGCTATATGAAAAAGACACAACACACAGCATTTGCATGACATTACACAACTACCCAACATCACCATATACCATACAAGGATATTAGCTCTAGCTTTCAGGACAAAGGATAAACCTTCAGTATGGCAAAGGTAATGACACAAAGCAAACACGCTGTGAAATGATCTGAAGAGATTGACCCAAGGTAATGCTGTGTGTGGTTCACAGCAGATTTAAGGTGGTAAACCAGTAAACCTCAGAAACAATCTCTGCAGCCACATCTCATGCAGTGTTAGGAGCTAAGCGCTACAGGTTATTTGCACCGTTGCTGTCAGAATAAATGGTGCAATAAAAATGACACGGCAGAAACCATTCACAGAGGAAGAAACAGAAACAAAGCAACAATCCAGAGACAGACTTGGGGAGTTCTTCCAGCAGAGCCATAGGTTGTCCTTGCTAAATCTATTTACTTTATACGAATTTAATGCATGCCCCTGAGAGGAAATGGCAATTGATTTTACATATATCATTATGAAGAGAACTCAGACTCTGCTGGAATTATTATTTTACTTAGAGTTCAATACTACTGTAAAAGATGACGTCACCCGGGATTCTAAGAAATCTGATGGAATGAGTAAGGAGCCTGACGCTGGAAAAATCAGTCCTCTTGCACATGCCAGGTCTAGTACACAGGTTACACTGTAGGTGCTCCATGTTAGGGCCTGTCTATGAATAACCACAGATCAGGGAAGTATTACCTTTCCCCGCAAGCATCCTGTGTGTCTTGCTCATGCGGTGTGCTCACACAGAAGAAGCCCGTGCTTCATAAAGAGGTCAATACACAGATTAGCAGACAAAGATCCGATTAGGACAGTGAGAGAGGACAGGGACACCCAACGGCAAAAGCATGAGAGCGACAAAGAGAGGAGAATGAGTCGGAGCCTGGTGCTAGGAAATGCCTGAAGAAGGAAAATGCCAAACCATCAAGAGTTTTAAAAAAAAAAAAAAAAAAAAAAAAAGAGGAAAAACACGAAGAAACCAGTGTACCCTGAGCAGAGAGTAATTATGAGTAAGACGGTCTACAGAATGTCAAAAGGAAAGAAGAAAAACTCAATGATAATGAGAGATAACATACAATTCCTGTTCTTCCAGACGACTGTAAAATGTATCCCTTTTTCTTCTATAATAAAAAAGAAAAAAAAAAGTAAATCAAAGCCATTCAGTTTAGTTAAGAGGAAATCACTCTGTTGGGGAAAAAAACAAGGGAACTGGTTTAGAGAAAATCTGGGTAGGCATATTACACCACAAACATACCAATGAAGGTTTCTGTTCACACTAGGATACATTATCCAGCCATACACACGTGTTCAGGACCTGGGCCCTATTTCAGGAAGCCGGTTTAGAAAACTCAGAGTGAAAAACGATACTCAGGGTTGAGTAACCCCGAAGTGTCCAACTCGGAATATTCGGTTTCAGAAAGGCTGATAACAAGTAGTTCAGTCAACGCGGAGTTGCTTTAACCCCAAGTTAAACGCGCGCACGAGGATACATAAAGCCCTGATTAGTGGAGCACAGATTAAGCGAGTCACCATGGAGACGGAGGGAAAGAAGGCGCGGTCAATGTATTTTACAGCACTTGAGGCCGAAATTCTGATGGCAGCATATGCCGATAACATGCAAATTTTGCGGAAAAAAAGTAACACAGCCTCAGCTGCAAAAGAAAGGGAGCATGCATGGCAAAACATAGCCAACAGAGTCAATGCGTGAGTGTTAATTTAAACATTGATCTAGGGATTTCCACCCATTTAACACGTTATTTTATTATTTTTTATTTTATTTTTTATTTCATACATTTTATTTTGTGATGTGATGTGAGCGCAGGTGCAACCCAACAGGCCCCAAACGTTCCTGGCAGCAAGTAAAAATGAAATATAAAAATATAGTCCAAACAGGTAAGGTGTAATTGTATTATGAGCCATAGTGCTTGGTCTGTTTGTCCGATGTAAATCGATTGCAGTTAGAGGCTACATTAATTTTCTTTCTGTAAGCACTTATTGAAATTATCTGAGCACATTACAAGTACATATTTGCTTACTCTGTATGCTCAAATGTGACCCGTTATAGCCAACAGAAAAAAAAAGCGGAGGCCCGAAAAACAGGTGGAGGTCCTCCACCACCACCACTCACAGAGGCTGAGCAGTTGGCTTCCACATTTGTGATAATGTAGGCAGCATCACATATGATCTTCACAGTGCAGAGAACACAAATTAGCATCCATTACTATAATGAAATAATTTGTTAGTTTGAAATGCTACAGGGAACTATGTACCTGTACATTAATGCTGTGGAAAGACTTCCTGTTCACATAGTCTCCTTCATTTACTGAAGGAGCAATGATTGGAATGTGAGTGCCATCTATACAGCCAATCACGCCTGGGAACCGTGAAAATAAATGTAAAATTTAAGTAGTAGTTCAAATATCACCACATCATGAATTAAGTTTCGTTCATCCTGATACCTGCAATTTTGTGGAATCCCTCTTTGATAAATCTTGTGGGTCTATGACCGGGGAACACCACAGACGAGTACAGGAGACGTTTCAGTGCAACTGTAACATTCCTGCCCGACAGACGGTAGCCTTGGAAACGTGCTCAGCGTCACCAATATTATACAGAAAGCTCCCGTTTGCAAAAAACCGAAGTGCAATACAAATAATATGTACAGAACTGAGAGAATGTCCGCGATGTGTCACATGAGCAATATTAGGCCTGAAGATGTTATTCAAATAAATTATAGATTGTGCTGAAAAACTGTAACGTTCACACAGAAAATCATCAGGAAATGATAAAATGTCCGAACGCGCTCTAATCACTCTCCGGAGAGCTCTGCGGAGAATTTGGGCTTCAACATCTACTGGCTCTTCAAGGAAGGGGCACGCCATGTCTGACACTTCCTACAGTCAGGTTTCTGACAAAGGGGCGGAGACAGTCAGGGTTAGTTGTAGTAAACCTGCTAGGGGGCAGGTTAGCTTCACGGAGTGTCGTCATAGTAACTCACTCAGAATTAATCTAAACTCGCTTTGTGAAACCGAAAACCCAGAGTTTTCGTTAACTCAGGGTATACTTACTCAGAGTTTGCACTAAACCGGCTTCCTGAAATAGGGCCCTGGGATGTAGTAACCACTTTGTTTTTGCAGCTGTAACAAAACATTCATCATATGTAATCCCCGTTTTTGATTGTCCAACTTTCCTGGAGAGGTAACAGCCTCTTTTCAAAACATGAAAAAAAGACAATGATCTGAAGTCAGCACAGTGTCGTGGGACAACAAACTACATTTCCTGTCTGTTACAAAAGTGTTCCATGCTGCCACCCCCCTCCCATCCTCCCACCATGCTGCAACCTCATCCTCTGCTCACATGCAGCTGCAAAAATAGTCTAGCTGCAACATCACACAAACACAGCAGGGGGGACATGGGTAATGGAGCACTGTGTCATGTAGTTCCCAGAGTTCACAGTCAAAGAGGTCTGAATTCAGTCTCTTAATCCGATCCATTTAATTTTATGGTGTAGCCCTAAAATCATTCTTTGTTAATAGGCATCTATTTGGCTGCTTCCAAAACTTTTCTAGTTAAGCATCCTAATTTATCTGGCAATAATACATCATCATACAATAGCATGAACTACAGTCTTCCGGGCTTAGATGTGGACATTAATGTTGATGAACTAGGGGTACATAAAGTACCAATAGTTTAATTATTTTTTGCTTCTTTGTCAATTTCAGGCTTTTTCCTTATAATGTCAAAGTGGATAAACTATGTATTGAAGTACAAACCATCACATGGCAGACTGAAAGGGTGCTTTTCAAGGAAAAAGTGCTGAAACTGACTTCCTGTCTGGGCTAAAATCTTCACGATGTCTGCTTCTGTCAGAGGAATTAGCCTCCTCTTCGGGGTCAAAAAACATCCAAAAGGAAACGATGGCAGGACTTAAATTACGACCCTTGTAGGGCTAAATGATATAATTAATATTTTTACAAACAAATCAATTCTCTGTTTTCAGGCCTAATCTATTAGGTTATTTTATTATGATTAAAATTAGTTTAAAAAAAAAAAATAGCTTGAAAACTAGTTTGAAAAGTTGTAAAATGTAAAAATCAAATCAGCAATCCTGCGGAGCAGGTGTGTCAAACATAAGATCCAGGTGCTAGAATTGACACGGCCCAATGGAAGGCTGGAAATGTGAAAGATGGCAAAAGGTTTTGGACTTTTATCTCCATTTTCAAAGGTTTTGCAGCTTTTCCTATTGATAGAGACCTCCCTTTATTCACGATAAACCAAAGGGATTAAGATACACAATTATGTGACAATAAAGTTTCTGTCTATATAAATCTTTTTTAAACAGACATGCTGTTGAAATTTTACTATTTTTTCCTTATAGAACCACATTTCATGAATTGAATGTGTAGTTAAATATCTTTACACTGATAGAGTGAGCCAGACACAGTATTACACTCGGAGCTGGGCCAAATGTCTAAAGGTAAATAAGCCGCAGATAAAGAAAGCTGGATACACAGCAGAGTCAAATCTCTTGCAAATTATCCAGTTAATCCGTGCCCACAAACACACATCGTCATGATTTCACCATTTAAAAAAAGGCAACATTACAATCCAACTGTGTACACGGATAACCAAAGTCTGGCAAAGTCCTAAGCTGCTCACACCTACGCTAACAAACAAGCCTTGCATGAAACTTTGGTCCAAACCCCAGCAGAAAAATCAGGCTTGCTGTTTGCCATTTGTAAAGTTACACCTAATTTAGTATAAATATTTGGTGCATAAAATATAGCATAACCATACCAGTATAAATAATTTTGTAGTTAAATAAGTGTAACACAATGAGTAGGTTAATAATTTAAAAATCTGTAGTTTAGAGAACGTGGTAACAACTCAAAGTTCAACCCTGTGAACAATGTTTTCAGTCTGTTTTATCCACCAAAAGGTAATGAATATGTTTTTCAGCTCTGAAAAACATGAATGTGAATACATGAATGTTTTCCATTATCAACTACATTAAATATTAGGGGTGCAACGATACACAAAATTCACGGTTCGGTTCGATACTTTGGTGTCACAGTTCGATATTTTTTCGATACAAAAAAAATGTTCATGCATTTTTAATTTGTCATTTATTAAAATTATAAATATATATTTTAACTCAAAAGTACAGTTTTTAGATTTAACCCTAACCCTTGTGCGTGTTTTTTATTTTGACAGCGAATGCGCACCTGCGGACCACTTATGTGCAGCCCTGGTTATTTAGCTCATCATATCGCAGCCACAGAAATTCTTTTGTCCATGAAACCATAAAGCTGCACTTTCTTTTTGCCTTATAGTCTGATTTGTCATAACTTCTCTGTTTTGTGGTAAGCTTTTCTTTGGCTGTCACTTCTTCGCCCTGTCCTGTCTTATTTGGCTCAGCAGAACTGAAATGCTTTTACACACGCACTCACATAAGCTCAGCGATTCTCTGCGCGATCAACCTCTCACATGTTTAAGCTTGCTGTGGGAGATTTCACTTGTCATGTTTGCATAGTAAGCTAACGATTAATAAGACAATGTCAGAGGAATTGGTGCACAAATTGTCATCACTCACAGATCAGTGCTGTCGCTCTCTATACACAGTTCGCACGATTGCAAAGTGAAAGCAAAAAAACAAGCGCAAATTCAAACGCGACTTCAATATGTCACATATTGACAGTGGCTCACCGATGCCAATGACATAATTACCCAGCTACATTTCTGAAAGAATGCAAAAGCATTGACATATATTTTTCCTACAATAGCCCGACGGGCAGGGCAGAGATAGATTTTGGTAGCCCGACTGAAAAAAATCGCTAGCTCCGGGACGTCGGGCTAGCGATATTGCGAGCCCTGTATCTGATTGAGGAATCACTCATCTTTGGAAAAGAGAGTTTATTACAGAGAAATGTCTCTTTCCAAAATAAAAGCTATACTATCCGCTTCTTCTGGGCTATATTCTCAGCAGCATAAGGAGAATCATGCTGTCTAAATGACTCGGCTAAAGTTAGTAGCATGCTTGTTGTTTTTGTCTTTGCACTAGGATGATGTCGGCGTAAATGTGCAGTCATATTCGTTGTGTTCCCACTAGTGCTTTCAGGTTAATCTCGTTGAAATGACCTTAACGCCACAACACGGCAAATCTCCGTTAACGAGCTACCGCCGATCGCCCCGTGCATGGGGCTAGACGGCCAACACGTTCACGAGCTAACTGCGCTAACACACTAGTTCCCACCCATGTAATTGAGCATTGCATGGCACATCCAACATACTGTTTTACTTGAGTCCATGACTCGCTTACCTTCGGGGTCATACGTCACATGAAAACCAAAATAATTCCAAACGCCAGATCTGAATGAGGTTCAATTTGCCTGTTGCAAGGAGAGCTTAACTTCTGTCTCGCTAGCTTGCCCTGCGCTCTTCCTTCTGACTATGCTGTCTGTGTTGAACGCTCAGTGGATCTGCGCTGGACAGTGCAGCCTAGGCGGAGTAGTCGAACGCAGATTCACTGAGCGCTCAACACAGACAGCATCGTCAGAAGGAAAATTGATAAAATAAATTACAAATGTTGTATTGTTCGATACATATGCGTACCGAACCGAAAGCACTGTATCGAACGGTTCAATATCAATACGAATATCGTTGCACCCCTATTAAATACATATTTTTAGAAGACCATCGTAATACCTGGTTACGTCATCCAGAGATATGAATAACCATTACCAATCATGTTAATCCATTAAATGTACGATAAAATGAGGTTAACAGCTTTGTTGCTAGACTGGTCCAGTCTAGCAGACCAGTGTGTTCTTATTACCTTTCGGCATCAGTCACTAGAGCGAGGCGCCCATAGTCCCATGCCACTTTTCTCAAGATAGAGAACACAAACAGCAGACCCTAAAAGCACAAGAGAAAGAGCAGGTCAACACCTTCAGTACCTTTATTTACATTACAGGGACCTACTGAACTAAAGTTGCATAAGTGCTTCGGGCTATTTATAGTTTAAAAACACTTTCCTGGAACTATTTTTATTTCAGTTCTTAGAATTGTAATGACAACACAATACACAATATTAAAGGGCCCACATGTGATGATGAGGATAGCATTATGCCTTACGTAAAAAGGTGCTCATAAATAGTAATGTTATGGTCCATATGAGTGACAGAAGTACTCACCAAGAAGCACATAAAGTCAAGGGCAAGGACAGTAGGCACCCCACCAAAGGGCAAACCCTGGAGTACAGTACTCCTAATTCGAGCAGAGTAACACATTTCCGTAGATTTATTGCGGGATGGTGCCGGCGATGTTCCAATGCAGTTCACTGTCACCCCCCAGAAGGTTAGTATTAAAATCAGTACCTTGTACATCACTGCAGCATGACAAGAACCTGTAAAAAGAAAGATTAATTTTAATTTATTTATTTTTTACACAACTACATACACTGAAATCAGTGTATGTAGAATAAATAAAAACCGATTGGGAACTCAAATGAGTCAAAAAGATCTCTGGACTACGGAGCCGGCAGCATGTGAACCAAACCTCCTCACATCTACAGTACAACCAAGTCCACCTGTAAACCATTCTCCCTTCTTCCGTCTATGTCAGCTACTTTCAGAAGACGACATCAGTGTCTGCATACCCAGTAAATGATCAGAAATGGAAGGGGGACAACCAGAAAGGCCCTGTCACACAAGATAATGTCATTTTATTTCCCATTTTAATGACCAGCTGGTGTTTCCGTCATGTCAATAATCACATGTTGGAGAGGCAACTTCTGACCGCACAACAACTGAAATCCTGCTTTTAAAACATAGTACACTTTCTGTTCCCTCTTTACAGACACTTTTGGTGTTAATGACACATATTTAACTTTGTACTGAATTCATGGGAAACAACTGTGGTAAGCACAAATTATACTCTGCGCATCTTGGCAGTCAGCTAGCAGACATTTCCTTTTCATTCCAGCAACAGTAAAGAGACCAACACTGTAATCGCACGAGAGAATTGTTTCTAGACAACATCAAAGTCAGCGTTTACGTCATTAACATGAGTCCAGTCAGGCTTAAAAGATCTGGCCTACTGGGATAAGCCTACCAGTAGCAAAATTTCTCTAATCCATTTCAGAAGGAAACAAACAGCTGACTTAAAAATCTACTTAAAGGATAATGATGAAAAGATACTGACATGTTTAAAAGTCTGAGCGTTATAATGAATTATGGGAGAAGTATTTCAAATCCCAAAAAGGATTTTACTACAAACATTTCAAAGTGAGTTTAAGTTTAGCTTAATTTTCCTCTCTAGCACACAGAAAAATGATGGATTACTTCAGACTACTTAAGGTAAATATTTGCTGACCCAGAAAAAGGATAACATTTGTCTAGAAATAAAAGTAAATTACTACTACTGTATCAAATATTAGGGCCATCCTAATAAAACACTAGCCATCCATTCAGTGCTTTTACCCTCTGAGACTTTAACATATAGAAGCTCTGGACCCACCATGCTACAGAGTCGTCATATAAATGTAAAAGTATTACAGCATTCTGGCTGGCAGGGAGGACACAAAACATCATTTTTAAACCTAATTAAACAGGGCAACACATTTAGAAGACTGGTTATTTCACACATACTAACCAAAAAGCTGTTCTGAGAAGAGCTGGAGAGGGCGTTTTCATAGTTGGACTGCTATACTTGTGCCCTTCTACCCACTATTATCAGCAGCAACCACAATGCTGCTCATCTGCCATAACACTAAGTCATTTATCCGCTCCCTGGAATGCTGTGACTTCACTCAAGAGGGACGTAGCCGGAGCTGAACAATACGCCGATAGAGACCACAGAGTTCAACTGGACCGGTCTCAACCCAATGAGGACACAACGCACATGCCCACGGTACATTCAGCAACACTGAACCACTGCAAAAGCAGACACCAGCAACTTAAGTATATCAAGAAGAACATACTGTAAGACCTGATACACACATTATATTATATATTATTTGTGATAGTAAGCCTAACAAATCAAGTATTAATTGGATTCTAGAGTGATGTCATCCACCATAATATACAAATCCCACAACTGTATAGATTTACACATCTGACAGTTTAACCAAGTACCGAATGTATTTTGTTATGTAATGTAGTTTAAAATAATCTGAACTCATCCAGTTGTGGGTTGAATCAAATATTGTTGGAAAATGCAAAAAGTTGACAGTTTTTAAAAAAAGCTTTGAAGTAGAAAGTTGTTGTTTTTTAACAATACAGTAAAACTGCAATAAAGAATTTTCTTTTTATGCTTATTTTTGATTATACTATACTAAAAAGGTATTTTGGGGTTAAAAAAAAAAAATGTTTTAATGGTGTTACTAGGGGTTCACGCCTGCCTGCCTCCCCCCCCCACACACACAATATTTTGGTCGCTACCGTCATCTTGTCTCCTTAAACCTGCTTTCTTACCCAATTATCTGCATTCACATCACACTGAGGTGTCTGTAAACATAACTTCCCTTCCATTTAGTATTTCTTGTTAAAAATGCATTGACTACACACTGGAATTTCATTGCATTACGTTTCTTATCAAGCAAAAAAAGACTGATGATTACGCCGATATACATATTTGAAGTGCATTTCTACATTGTCTCTAGAGACGTCAAAAGTAAAAAGAAATATTAACTTATTGACAAATGATCATCAAACATCGAGCATTTTATGTATATTAATTGCTTTTAAATGGATTTTAATGTCTGAACGCATTGTAACAGATTTTTGGCTATAACAGTTGTGATTGATATGGAGAAAGGATGTGGCGCTCACATGTATTCCATGAGGTCATCGTCTTAATCTTTATTTTCCACCTTCCCTTTACTGTAAACAGTGTGTAACATTAGCTAACACCAGCTTAGGAATAGAGTCTGTGTACATCGACCAGCAGCTTCTTCACATTAGCACAGTGAAACTTGTGGTTGAAAGTTCAAAGGATCAGTAGCATCAGTAATAAAGTGCTTGTGTTCTGTAGAGAACATACAGTGTGGACATTTCTTACAATGATAATGCAAGGTTACTTTTTATTTCATGAAATCCAAAAAACCCCAAACAAAAACAAAACTATAACTGGCGCAATTGTTTCAAACCCAACATGTTACTTAGTAACCCAAGCCATTTTACAATCTGCATTAGGAATGTGCACTTACTCATCCTTGCAAATCACTTCAAGTCATAACCTAGCCCATCTATTCTGTTTAGGATCTATGCTCAGATATCCCATGAAGTGAAGTTCAAATATTGGGCACTGTGAGGGCCCAGTTTATGTTTGATGGTTCATGGGTGAACTACTAATACATTTTAGAGTGCAGCCTTCCTTTTAATGTCAGTATCTTCCCTAATGACACAGTATTTTCATCTGCAAAAACAGAAAATTTCCATCCCTATGATTAACAAGTACAGTACTGCTTCCTATTCTCTCTAAATATACCTTTGGCAACTGTGGCCAAAGGGCAGCATTTTAACTTATCTGTATAGAGCACTCTTTCCAGACCATCCTGTGTTGTTTACAGACATATGCGGTTTTTTTGCTCTGCCTCACAGGGATATTTTGTTTGACAGCTCTACTGCAGACATTTCCTTCAAATTTGTTACTCATATGAATGATTCAAAGAAAACAGAAGCCTAAAATTGCCTTTTTAGACCAAAACTTGCGACACCAATCAATAATAAGAGTTCCGTTTTTCCTGCATGGAGTCATTTTTGGCACAATTTGTTAGACCCAAAGCAAATCAGCTCCATTGTAATAATGTTTTAACCAGTTTTATTAATATAATGTATAGATTTCAGTCAAATAAGCAAACAATGTGTCACCACTACATGGTCCTTCCAAGCCAAACATTTAACATTGATATAATTTAAGCAGAAGACATTGACTGAAAGAATGACAGATAAATAAACTATAATGAAGATGATATACAACCTCAAACTTAATCCAAAACCTGGAGGTTTGTTTAATTTTTGTTAGTAAAAAAAAACTAAAAACAAATTATACTTGGAATACACAATAAGGAACTTTAATTTGCAATATTTCCTTAACCAATAAACCAATGAAATTTTCATCAAGGGCTGATTTTTCTTGCTTTTGAATTGCAACTAACATCAAATCCAAAGAGCATTTGAATTACTTAAAATTTGAACAGCGCCATCACTGTGTGATCATAGCATGACTCAGCGTTGCATAAATATTGTACAACCTTTCCACCTGACGCTAGTTGTCATGGTACCATCAGTCTGGCTTGCTTCCTCCAACTACAAATATGAGGAGGGTGAATGTAATGGGAGGATAGTCAAAGCTTTTCCATCTGAAGCTCGATGAAAATTCACTCTAGACCATTTGTCGCAGCTTAAAAGAAAGAAAAAAATTCTTTGTTTCAATTTCTCAGATACTATAGCCATTTAATTAGTCAGCAATAATCACAGGAAAATCTCTACTGCAACAAATGAAATGAAAACAGACAAACAGACTTCCTAATTCAATTTGATGCCTTAATACAGACACATACGCACACCGTTTTTTTTTTTTTTAAAGGCCACATTCATCTTAATGCACAATGTTGCAAAACTCTCATATTTTACATGTATAATTAGCAACAGCACACATATTTATGCCATTACCGCATGCAAGTCATTTCTTCTTTAACCATCCTAAGTCAAATATTTGAACAGGCTTTTTTTTCCCTACCTGTGCTTTAAAACACTGGGTTAGGTCGCAGATTTGCAGCTGTCAAGTAACACTGGCTTACTTTGCCAGCTAAATATAGTGAAATATAACACATGGTGGACACACATGAGGCGCTTGCAGGAAGCTGAACTGGTTTTGGTCAACTCACAATAAGTTGCTATGACATGTGACTTGAAAAAACAAAAACTGTTATTTCATTTGTATTTTTTTACGAGTGTTGGTTCAAAGCAGTCACCTTGTAAATTATTTCCTGGCGCTCATAACAGCAGCACTCAATGTATACAACCAGTGAACAAGTACTTCTTATGCATGTCATTCCAACTGACTTTCTGCCATCAGCTTTCAAACACTGCGTGATAAACTTATCAGCAATGTGAAACTGGAAAAACAAAGAATCCGTGCACACCCTGTAAGAAAACTGCCAAGGGAACCTGGCAGAGACAGCATTTCCACAACTGCTCATTTATTCAAACTCTACTTTTGAATCCACTGATACTTTTTCCTCTTTGTGATCAAAAAACCTCCTTTACATTTTAATGAATTTGTGCTCTGCATTAAGACAATTATCAGACTTCACAAGAGCTTTCCAATAACGTTGATGGCTGATAATGCAGAATTGCATCTATTTGAATTGTTAGCCAGTAAATCATTGACAAACACACAAAGGCTCAGCTTTGATTATCACAGATTTTGACAATGTCAGGCTGATTTCATGTCTTCAAGCATTAAGTTACAGTGAAAATGCATAAATTCAATAACAAAGATAATTTGCTATCCTAATAAAACTAGACAACAAATTGCAGCTGATGCTATATTATAGAAGACTACTACACAGTACAACCGAGCCTTAAGAGTTAAATAAATCCAATGAAATGCATTATGCCTGTAAAAGTAATCCAGCTACTGTAATTTAATTCCAATTTAAATAAAAATGAAAGGAGGCACATGTTCCAATCTACTGAATTCACTGATAGGACAGAAAATCTGTTTTTAAAGTTGTAGTGGTTGTAATGAGGTTTAATGCAAAGGGAAGGTTATCCATTTCAGTGTCATTATTAATTCAAGACTGGGCAGCTGGATGGAATTTAAGGCATCCATTTGCATTCAGACTGAAAGGTGCTTTTACGTATATTTTTCATATTTATGGAAGCAAGGCCTGGCCAAAGAAAGGCTTGTATTTCACAAAGCAGTTAAAATAAGGCATTTAAGAAGGAGAAGAAAAATGGAAGGGCCCTTTGTTTTGCAGCTTATATGAAAACGGTATCAGTGGCAACATGTCAGAGGTATACTTTTTCAAAGGTTTTCCCCATTTATGCTTATTCATGCTATTGCACCACATTATGAGCAAACAATACGCCTAGTAGCAGCCTGTGCTTTCCCTGTATAGGCTACGCACAAGTATAGCATTTAATTTTATATCCAAGCTACCACCAGCCATCAGTTCGTGAAGAAGCCAAAGTCAGAAGAGCCAGTAGATTTTAGCTTTTTACTATGATGCAAATCCCAAGACAAAGCGATTAAAACCACCTTGATGGACATCCGAGTAATGTTCGGAATTATTGATCTTCTATTGATTAGCTAAACCCTTGTCAAACTACTGCCTTTGAACACGCAGCTTAATGTCACGACTGCAAATTAAAGCTTCATTGTCCAACGCCTCCAAGCACAAGCAGTCTCTGCGTAGCCATGAAATTATAAGGAACTCCAAATATTCTTAAAAGCTTTTATGACGAACACTGGCATGTCTCCATTGATCCACCAGATCGTGGAAAAAAAGAAAAAAAGATCATTAAGAAACTGGCTTGGTCTTGGGCGTGTAGTGCGAGAAGGGCAACTGAAATAAAACCAACCTTAAAGCACATTTTTTTAACAAAATAATAACTATCAACGAGGTTAATTTTTGTTTCATAACTTCCATGAACTGTGTAAACAACCAGCTCTCAATACAGCTGAGGCTAGTTAGCCTGACGCTAATAGTAACTGCATGTTTACCCTCTTATTGTTTGACAGGAGCTTACGATGGGCTTTCGATACTGTAAACGACAAAGTAATATTTTTATTTTTTATTTCTGCGAACTGCTGGTATAAGTTTACTGATAAGAAAATCAACTTACCTTGATATGCTACGCAGAAGGGACAGAAACTTTAACAAATTGCTAAGGTGAGCTAGCAATCAATTCAGCTAACGTAGCCCCGTAACGTAGCAAATAACAGGTGGAGAGTGTCCAGCATTTAAAGACCGTCGACTGATTTCGACCCAGTGACTGTGTGCCCACCAACAGCCAGCTGGAAGTAGTTTGTCGAAGTGTCAGTACTAAGACAAAAGTTACTATCACCGTCTGTGAGCCGGTTAAACAACTATCGCTAACCCAACCAGTTACACTGGAGGCAGCCCGGGTTGGAGCGTGTCTTATGCAGAAGTAGATCACATAGGCATAGTCTCCATAAGGGAGCGCTTCACCGTGTAGCTTCTATTCTGTTTTATTTCTACAATTCCGCTGGCGCCTCTCTATGACGTAAATCAAATGACAAACAAGCTCCGTTTTTGTGTTTAACCTTTTCCTTTTTGTGAGGACTGTCTGTACGGAAATGAAATGGTTCGCAGTAATACGTATAAAACTAAATAAATAAAAACATATTTTCTTAAGTGCAATAAGAATTATTTAACAACAACATGATAACGCATATATCTGCTAGGTCGGTTGGTGGTCGCCTGCTGATGACGCCATACTTTTGACATTGGCATGGGGCGTAATTAAAATATAGGTAACGATTAGCGAGACATTTGTTTTAAACTTAAAGCTTCTTTCTATAATTATTATATGTGATATAGTATTTGTTGCAAAGACTATAAAGAAAGAAGTGTTCGGCTCTGTTATAAGCTTTAGTCTGGCTTCCATGTGATTGTTAGCTAATGCCTTTAGCTTACTAGCTGCTAACTACACACTATTTCTCTTTTCAGCGGACATAGTATTTGCTGTAATTATGGCTCTTCCCTGGCTCTCAAGATCCCTTTCTGGGCTACTCATGGAGACGGCGTCCCTAAATTGTCAGAGGAATTTCAGGTAAAATTCTTAGAAATGTTGTATTGTGTCCATTGTTAGACCATCTAAAGAAACCAATTCAGCAAAAATAATCCAGTTGACCAGAAAACGTAGCATTTTTATTGCAGCTTTAAATATATTGCGTAATGTGCGTATGTGACACCGCAGTGCTGTTTTTAAACTCTTATATATTTAAACTGCATTTACTGTAAATCTAAGTTTAAGACGTGGATGGAAACCCGAATAAACTTTTGAATAGTGAATGTCTAAAGTCATTAGTAGTCAAGCTGTAGTGCTGGGTTTTATGAGCTGATTATTTTCAGACATGCGGGAAAAAAGGATGTGAGGTTTGTTTGTTTTTTATTATTTGAAGGGAAGGTCCTTCCATGTGTGAGTATTTTTCCCTATTCTTCTAAAGTCACATGTAAACAGTTTTCCTGAAATATATGCAAGAGCTGGTCTCATAGGACAGGCTGAACACTTTCATTTTACAGCAGTGGCGTGCCCCTCAGCCTCAATGTCCTATTATACAATTGAATTTTCTAATTCAGTTATCCGGTGCATGAGCCAGCCCTGAATCATTTCTTTATTAAGTGCTTATGGAGCAGTATAAGAGGCAACTTGTTCAATTTACAATATCACATGATATTTAGCTTTATATTTTAGTAGAAAAGTGGATTACTTGCATACCTGCTGACTGAGAGATCTAAGTGACTGTCATGGTCAGTGATGCTTGGTAATGAGTAATGAACTTAACTCCTTAAGTTGGACAGGACTAATATACTCTTTGTCTTGTCAGTGTATCTGCTGTTGCTGCAGCCATTCAAAAAATGACAAGAGTACGTGTAGTGGACAACAGTTCTCTTGGAAATACTCCATATCACCGTCCTCCGAGAGTGATCCATGTCTACACCAAGAACGGCGTAGGAAAAGTTGGTGACAGAGTGTTACTTGCCATTAAAGGACAAAAGAAGAAGGCGCTTATCGTTGGACACAAAATGCCTGGAGAGCGGATGGCTCCACGCTTTGATTCTAACAATGTTGTACTCATTGAGGACAATGGGAACCCCACAGGAACAAGGATTAAAGTCCCTGTACCCACACATCTACGTAAACTAGAGGGAGATTACTCTAAAGTATTGGCAATTGCCAATTCATTTGTCTAACTGTGTCAAATATGTGAACATTTTGTGCTCAAGTTGTCTTCAATAAACTTTAAACGAACAGATGTTATTGCAATTGTTTTTGGTTTTTAACTTGGTACTGCAATTAGGTCAAATCTTTATAAACATGTCTTTTTTACAGAAGCATCCCAAAGCTTACAATAAATACAGGCTTTACCTTTAAAGCATAGACACTTCTTGTCCAGTAGCCAAAGAGAATGTGGGGCAAACTTGTGTTGTGGAAACAATGGAAAAATATCATGAGCCTTTGAATATTTATTGACGGCACGAAATACATTCGTAACACATGACTGGCACATTTTACTGGTTGTTCGTACCATGATTTTTTTTTTCTGTGTGTATAAGGCAATCATCAGTATCATGTGATTCCTGTAAAGGTCACTAAAAGTGAACGGATACATTATTAATGTGAGGCAACTTCTCAAGCAGCTTCAACTATAATGCAAGTGCAATTTAGTAAAAAAAAACCAAAAAACCTAAGAGGTGAGTGGCTTCAATTCATCAACGTCATGTTAAACAGGTTCAACTCATTACATATTAAATGTTTCAAGTTTGTCACTGACATCAGATTGGCTCCGTAGTGACACCTACAGGTGTAAGAGTGAAACTGCTGACTCAACACTAAAACTAAAACAAGATTTAAACAAATGAATGCACAATTACTGAGAAACTAAAGCACTTTTAGAAATAGCACAGAAACAGATTCTCAGACAGACTTCAAAGAGTGAAATTGTCAGAGAGTGACATCAAAATTAAAACATGTAAAACCAACTCGCAGTAAACATTGCAGCTAGTGATTTTCTACATGCACATGGCCATGCTCTGTAAATAAAGATGACACATTTATATCATATGGTGACGGCTACATGCTGTAGCTTTGCATAGATCCTAAAATATGTCCAGGATGCACCACGTTGGCTTTGCTGGACTTTGGTTTTCTGTTACACAGCTATTTTGCAACTTTTATTTAAGCTGAGGTGGGATGTGTAAAAGGATCTGAAGGTTTCTAGGGCGAAAGGGTCTTCATAGCTCCAGCTTCACGGCAGTCTGCAGGCACTGTGCCCTTACTCGATACACCTTAACAGAAGGTTCTCTTCAACCACACATGGTCAGATAAAGCCACTAGCAAGGTAACAAAGTTAGACAAACAGAAAAGTTTGACAAAAGGATACTGGATACATTTTCTTTTTAAAACAGCACTCACCTCTGTCAGGGTCATCTCTGCCTCTCCTGATCCTGCCTCGTCAAATTTTCGGAAAGACCCTATTAATTCAAAGTTTTCATCATTTATTGCCACTGCATTAATAATGAAATATGGTGCCACTATGCTGCTTTTATTTCTAATGTGTCTGTCAACATTACTTACTAAACATGGCTTCAAGCTTAACCAAGCAGCATATGAAGCTGTCAAAGTCAATCATCTCATTCTCTGCATACCGGGCCACCAGAATCTGGAGGAGTCGATTATTCAGCTTGAAACCTACATAGAGTTTAAAACGGGTTAGTATTCACTTAGTGGTCAGTGTTACGTCCCTCTGCAGACTACTTTATAGCATAATTAGGTATGCCTTGCTACTGCCAGGTTGGATCTGCTTTTGCCTTCAGAGTTGCTTTAGTTCTTAATAGCACAGAGTCAAAATGCTTGAAACAATTCATCAGAGATTTTGGTCAAAGAACTTCTGCTCACTGGATATTTTTTTCTGTTTCTGACCATTCTCTGTAAACCTCAGAGACGCCATGTGATTGGCTGTTAACCTATACTTGGTTTAACAAGCAGGCAAGCCAGTGTGTAGCTGTGTCAATATGATGCTTTGATATGAAAAATTATACCTGCTGCTTCCACAGCAAGTCGCATCTCATATGAGCTCATGGCCCCTGACTTGTCGAGGTCGAATTGTCTGAAAACGACCTGAGAGAAGGAGACGGTAACATAAATAGAAATACAGACAATCTAAGTATAACGTTCCTGTTTTAATCGCTCTTACCAGCCACTTTCGGATCTTGTTCCAGAGGATCTGAAACTCCACAAGTCCTAAACGAGCACTACCATCTTTCTAGGAAACATTTTGTCAAGGGGCCAAACAAATCACATGCTAAAGGCACAATTTAATGCCTAAAATAGTCAGTTTTGTAAGATTTAGGTGTGATAACACCAGAGGATACATCCATCAGGTTCACCATGGTCCTACAAGACTCCATACTGAAGCCATCGGTCTTCAGGTCTTTGTCTGAAATGACAAAAAAAAAAAAAGACCTTCTTCAAACCATCTGGCTAAAAAAAGACACACAGTTAAAGGGAATGGGCACTACAGTGGAATCTAATACAGTAATGGGAGATGTATTAGTAATATGTGAATTGCACCCAAAATAAAGAGAACACTCACGCCGGGCGACGACTCTGTTTAGAATAGTCCTCAGCTCATGAATAGAAATCTCCATGTCCTGCAAAACAATGAAGGACAACTAAACTTTGCAACTAAGAGCAACTTTACTGGCTTTGTTCCTATCATGAATACTGCAAACGCAACTATTACCACTACATATGGTGTTTTATCAGATAATTATATAAAAGTAGTATGTAGGTGAAAAGATGCTAAGCAGTAAGAGAGATCTTTTCAAAACCTACCTCTCCTGCAAGTTGAGCAAACATGGCCTTAAAAGAGTCATCAATGTCATCTTCAGTTATTTCTTCCTGTAGGAAAGCAAACCATGGTAGGTACAGGGTGTAAAATCAAAAAGCCTTAGCATTCTTGCAATACGTGTAATAATTTAAAATTTCCAACTGATGTATACGTACATCCTCTCCCAAATCGGCAGAGACTTCATCATCCAGCTCTCTGCAACAGACAAACTCTATTGGTACAAGGCCTCCTTTTCCACACATTGTAATGGGTGAAAATAAATAACAAAATACAAGCGTAAACATACTCGGTCTCTGACTGCTTCTCAGTGAACACCCTTAGGACAAAGTCGGCCTCTTTACCGGCCTCAAAGGTGGAGGGAACGATGAGGTACTCTCCTGGAGGCAGACGGAGCCGTGTGCTCACCTCCCGGAGGTTGATGAAGGTTTCCGAGCGAGCACAGGAGGAATGGCTCAAAAAGAAATTCTTCTTCAAATGGACATTTTGGCAGCCTCTGTACTAAAGGCAGCAGCAAGCAGAACACTGGTTCAAATACATATGCAGGCTTTTAGCTCCATTTACTGTAATCACAGACACACATGGTTCACATTACACTAAGAGTAATGGTAATGAATTTTTTTTAAAAAGTAGTAAAGTGATGCTCTGCTTACCTCTTCTGGAATCTGCAAAAACAGGGGAAAGAGTTTAAGGAATGAGCATGAGGATCCTTTTAAACATACAAACAAGGCAAAGGGACAATACAGATTTTCTCTGTTCGCACCTCATACAGAGCAAAGCCAATGGTGTGCATGTCTTGACCTTGACGTCGATATCTGCGCCGGTCTTTCTGCATGAGGGCTACTAAAAAACTGCACGCCACCTCATCGTCCTCTGGGTCGTCGTCCTCCTCCAGCAGCGTGATCTTATACTGAGGGTTGATCCAAAACGTGTCTGCACAGACGGGACATTTATGTTAGCCTGCTTCATGGTCCAACAGTCACTCACCTGCGGAAACTGTGTACACTTGATTGTAAAAGTCATGTTTGTGGGGTATACACAGTTAGGACTCACTGGGATGGTTCCTGCAGCCCCCGGCGGTGCTCCCTCTCCTCCACGTGCCGTAGAACTTGATGGTGTTCCAGTGGCTCAGGCTGTCGTCACTCAGAGCATCTGGAGTCAAGTTGCAGATCTCTAGTCGAGAAAACTGCCTGATGAAATCACTGAAGGACATCCTGGAAGATGTAGTTGTAGCTTTCCTTAAACAGCTAGTTCAACACTGTGCTTTTTCACTCACTATAAGAGTTTGATGATCAAATTTGCAGCACTCTCATATCTGTGTGTTAATGATAAACCTGAAGCTGGGAAACAGTAAGCCTAGCACTATAATAGATCAGAAGGAAATAATTAACAGCACATTATACTCGTAATTACAGCTGTACAAACAAACCAGCTGGGTTTTTTTACAAGATAACACTCCAGCAGCAAGTCACTGCTTTTAAGTTGTTTTTAGATGGAATAAAATCACATTTATATCTTTACAAAATGGATTTAAAGGCAAAGATTTTCTATCTATGGTCAGAGTCAGTTTAGTGTTTACTCTTAAACTTTGATTGTTTATGCTGAGTTTTTGCTAAAAGCCTTGTTGTAGCTTATTGTTAAGACAAAGACACAATATTCTCATCCAGGCAAAAATATCTGTCTGTTTCTTTAAAATCATCTAGTACCAAAACTCGCCATCTTCCATCTGCAGATGCAAGTCTTCTCGTTCAGAAGGGTCGATCTGATCCCATTCAGGAGAACTACAAATGACAAGAAAAGCAGGCGAGAACAATTAGTGAAGATGGCGCACTGTATTTGACCCTTCCTGATTTGTTATTTCTTTTAAATATCTGTCATGCTTACATGTTTCAGATCAAACTAAGTTAAAACAAAATGCCATTTTCAAATCATGATTTCGTCCATTAAAAGAAAAAATGCTGCCTGGTCCTTTGTGAAAAATTGCCCTCCTTGTTAAATCGTGAATTAATTGTGATTATCCACTTTTTTTGGAAAGCTGAGTTCAATTTCATTAGCCACACACCGGCCTGTTTGCTGCCAAACCTGCTGAATCGAGAGACCAAATAGACTCGCTGTAAATGATAGAACCATGAATTCTGCTCTAACTGAGAATGTGTGGCCATCAGTTCATGCTCTAAAAATCAAGCATACTTGGATTATGCACCAGGACAACAATCTGAAACACCTCTGAATGGCTAACAGAAAACAAAGTGGAGTGGCCTATTCAATGTCTGGACTTTGAATCAGAGTGAGATGCTTTGGCATGACCTTAAACAGGGTGTTTATGCTCAAAAACACTCCAACGTGCCTGAATTAAAGCAGTCATGCAAAGTAGAGTGGGCCAAAATCCTTCGCAGTGATGTGAA